GTTGCAGGCTCGATCCCAGGCCTGGGTCGGGGCGCATGCAGAAGGCAACTAATTGATGTGTCTCTCTCACATCGATGTTTCTCTGTCTCTCTTCTTCCCTTCCACTCTCTCTGAAAAGCAATGGAAAAAATATCCTCTGGTGAGGATTATCAAAAAAATAAAAGAAATTAAGAAACATGCCTAAGATTGTACAACTAATTAAAGAAAAGCTGAAGTTTGAAACTAGGCCAGGATTCCCCCTGTGCTGCACTGAAGGGACCTGTGAGAAAAAAGTCAGTGAGGCCCAAGTTCTGAATGAGCTGGGGCTTCCCCGAGAACCAAATGACAACAGAAAGTTCGTAAAGTCATCTGTGGAAGAAGCTATGATCACAAAGGGATGCAGGTCTCTTAGGTAATGTTTAAAAAGAACTCATTAGCCCTGGTCGGTGTGGCTCAGTGGATAGGGAGTCGGCCTATGGACTGAAAGGTCCCAGGTTCGATTCTGAGCAAGGGCACATGCCTGGGTTGCGGGCTCGGTTTTCATTCATGGGTTATGCATTGAAAATCCCTGTCTTCTTAGAGTTTATGTTCTGGAAGAACTTAATTCACTAAGAATAAATTAAGCCAATCTTGTGTATTTTACTGGCAGTGATTCTCTACTGGTAGATCATGAAATTTCTTGCGCATAGACTCTGACTAAACTCAAGGAAAGTGTAAGAAGGACTCTAGTGATAACTTCATGGATAATAGAGGCTGAGCTCATTCATTGGTGGTTAATTGTTGGTCCAACAAAAACATCTTAAGCTCTAGCCCAGTTGTTCTCAACCTCCCTAATGCTGCGACCCTTTCATACAGTTCCTCATGTTGTGGTGACCCCCAATTTCATTGTTACCAATTGAACATAATTAAAGCATAGTGATTAATCACAAAAACAATATGTAATTATTATGTGTTTTCCGATGGTCTTAGGCGACCCCTGTGAGAGGGTCGTTCGACCCCCAATGGGGTCGCGACCCACAGGTTGAGAACCGCTGCTCTAGCCAGAGTGGCTCAGTTGATTGCTGGTTTGATTTCTGGTCAGGGCACATAGCTGGGCTGGGGATTCGATCCCCGGTTGGGGCACATGCAGAGTGCAACCAATTGATGGCTCTCTCTCTCCTTCTCTCCCTCTCTCTCCCTGCCTCCCTTCCTCCCTCCCCAATAAAGACATAACCTCGGGTGAAGATTGTAAAGAAAGAAAAAAGGATGCCTTAATCTTATGTAGGAGGGACCCAAGGAAGACTTCCCTAAAGCAAGTAGTGGTTTAGCCAAAACTTAAAGTAAGTAGGAATTTTCCAAGTGAGAGAAGGATTGGATGGTAGGGATCCTTCGCTCTGGCCCGGAGCTGCCTTCCACCTTCACGCGCTGCCCAGAGGCCTGGAGTGGCCGGGGCAGGGCAGAAGCTTCCCGGCCCGCTCCTGCCATCTTTGTCGTGTCAATTTGCATATTCCCTCCTTATTGGCTGTGGGCACCATCATCTTTGTTGTGAAGTGACGGTCAGTTTGCATATTCTGTCTTTATTAGATAGGATGAGTTCATTAATAAACTGCCTAGAACAGTACCTGATACATAGCAAGGGTTCAGTAAATGGTGGTGGTTACAATTCTTTTAGTATCATCCTTCAATAGCAGGTTTGTGCTAAACCCTAGGGATACAAACTTGAATTCAGTGTGGTCCCTGACTCCGAGGTAACCATGCTGTGCTCTGAAAAGTGCAAGTGAACGCCCTGGCTGGTGTGGCTCAGTTGGTTGGAGCATCATCCTGTACACATACCCAGGTTGTGGGTTCAATGCTTGTGTGTGTGTGTGTGGGGGGGAAACATACGGGAAGGAACTGATCAAAGTTTCTCTCTCTCTCCCTCTCTCTAAAATTAATAAAAAAAAATTCTTAGTGAAGTTTTAATCATTCAGGTCAGAAAAAGGAATAACTTTTTGGTGCCTAATATTTCACTTAATCAAAGTAATCAGAAGCTTGGAAAGCAGTGGACTGATGTGAGAGAGATTGACACAGGAAGGCTGGCGGATCCCACTCTCAGAGGATTTTGAGAATGGGCACGACAGACTGGTCGTGGCTCAGTGCGGAAAGAGCACTAGAGTGAGAGTCTGAGACTGGCTTCCAGTCCCACTGCTGCCACTGAGCAGCTGTGCGACTCACAGTGATTTCCCCTCTGGTCATTGTTCTCTATCTGCAAAACTGGACTGGGATCCCCCCCCACCCCCCTTGTTTATTTATTTGCTTGTTTTCCTAGTGGCTGGGGAGGGTAAAGAAGCGTTTTGTGGTGTGGGAGGAGGAAGTGGGGGTGTGCCCAGATAATCTTTGCTATCAGCCTGAACATTTGGTAAAATGTGAAACGTCTGGGTTTTTTGGCAGGATGAGAAAAATACTGAATCGTGACCTCCAGCGAGTATCGGCTTTACTCTTGATTTTTTCATTTGCTAGTTGTGTGACCCTGAACAATTTACTCAGTCCCTTTCCTGTTTTCTAGCTTTCTCGTTCATAAGGTCAGGCTAATAATATCCACACTTACTAGTAAGGATTGTTGTGAGGATTAAACAAACAGCACTTGGCACAACATTCCAGAGGCAAACAATAGGTCTGTTTCCTTCCTTCATTTCTGTGATGCTCATACTCACCTCCTGCCCCTCTCACCCCTCTCCCTGCCTCCTGGTCCTGTTTCCCTTTCACCAAATACTTCCATCACTGATGGTGGACAAGCGCTGGAGGGACTCATTTGACTGATTGTAGTGGTGACTACGGTCCTGGTCATGGTATTTCAGCAAGGTGCCTGTGGATGGTCAGCTCCCACAGATGCCTACGGGCGCAGTCACACCTTGGCTACATAGCCAGCTGCCCAGCGCGTAGGCTAATACCTGCTGAGAATGGCCCTTGACTGCTGCCACCCTGGTAAACCCTGAGAGAGGGTCACATGAGTGAGGGCCGCACGAAGATGGGGCTGGTGGAGTGTGAGTGGGCGACACTGTGCCAGGTGGGCAGCTGGTTCACCTTTCTGCTGAGTGTCTACTTTGCCTCTCTCTTAGGGGGAC